CAGCAGGAAGTAGTTTGGAAAGAACAATGCCCAAATTCCCAAATATTGTCTATAAATGTTTGTTTTCATTTAAATGGACTTGGTTATATAAAATAAATTAAAAAATGAGAAAAAAAGAAAAGAAAAGTAACTCACACTACTCTATATTTAGAAGCAGTTTTGGTAAGTAGATTTTGTTCAGGGGTCCACAGGAATATTGTCACAGAAGAGCTTTCTTCTCCATTGACACTGCCCCAGAGGGGAGGGTCAAGAACAGTTTGCCTTTACCAGGGAAGGTGAATGTAGATGCTTGTGATTTTATCCTAAGTGTATATGCATAGCTCCACCATCAGTCATGTTTTGGTGGCCAATATAGTTGGTTGTGATGTCAACTAGCTGCAGATTAGAATCACATGAGCAGGAAACCTCACTGGAAGAATTGTCCTGATTATAGTGACTGGCATGGGAAGGCCCACCCCAGTTGTGGGCAGCACATTTGGGTAGAATCCCAGGTTGCATTTCAGAAGGAGGCTTAAGTCACCCTTTGCTCACACGGCCTCTACTCTTGCTGCTGAGTTGACTTGTGCCATTGTTTCTGCTGCTGCTGCTGATTCCCTCACTGAGAGCAGAGCCAGTGTTCGCAAGCTTAGCTTTCATCATGGAATAAGGACCTAAGGCTCTTCAGGGACTTTCTGGGATTCTGGAGCTCAATTGGGACTACTGAGGCACCCCACAATGTGTTCTGAGTAACTGTCATTTATCACACCTGAGTGAGAGAAAACTGTTCTGCATCGACTCCAAAAGAGTGTGTGTATGTGTGTGTGTGTGTGTGTGTGTGTGTGTGTGTGTGTGTGTATCACTTTGCACCAGCATGTGTTCTTATGCTAAGCTTGGATTTCCTTGCAATCTAGAATCAGAAGCTATGAATCTAACAGCTGTTCTTGAAGTAGCTTTGAAATCACAGGGATGCTGAGACTAGCTTTTCTGGAAAGAGGGGATTTTAAGTAGGAGTTCGTTAACAACAGAGTTACTAGAGGTCTTGGGAAGAGTAAAACATGTAGTCATACAGGATACCGGCCAGGAGATAGATCCCAGAACCAAGTCCCTACAGAGAAAGGTACATCACACCCCCTAATACATGATACACTGACGGCTCCAGTGGATGGCTATGAGACAAAAGAAAAGTGGTGACAGTGTAACTGATATTATTGGACATAAACAGGGTTTGGCCAAAGCAGATAGTGGTCTGGAATAAAGGCTTTATATCTAGGGGCCATAAACCAGCTGTCAACACTCCATCTGGGCCATTGGGAGCACCTGTGGAGACCTCCAAATGGAAAGACCCTGTGATGCCTAAGAAAACAAAGGTTAAGTGGTTGGAGAGCCTACAAAGTCTGAAAGTCTAGGGAACCTACAGAGTGTGAAGAGCTATGAAATGCAGACAACTAATACCATGTTGTCTATATTACAATTATGAGCCCAATCACAAACCCTGGGTCTGCCCTGACAAACTGAAAGTTGTCTAAAAAGGTAGGTGGGGTGCAGGTAGAAGGTCATAATGGCAAAGTGAGGTTTAAAAAATATGGCACTGGTATGGATAGCCAGAATGAGTGAAGAATAGCTAACACTGGATGTCTGGAGACCAAGAGTGAGGAAATAATGGCTGACATAGGGTAACAGGCAAACCAAGAATAAGTAGGAATGAAATCCATTATATAACTATGTAGGACAAGAAGCCACTTTAGTTTGAGTTTTGTATAAATATGGCCTTGAGACCAGAGGCAAATACTTTCTACCTGAACCTCTTACCTGGTCTTTGCCTTTGTCAGGCTGCTGGTGTGTGTCTGCTTAGAGGCCTGTGTGCCTACTTCTGTGCTGCCCACCTGACAGTCAGCATGTGTAGCTGTGCCAGCTGGTGTGTTCCAGCTTGTGCCTAGGTACCGTCTGGTGCTTCCTGTGTGCCTATGAATAAAGTATGCCACACCTGCTCCTTACATTCTCCTTAAACTCGAGCCCTTCATAACCTCTTTTCCCTGGCTTCAGAGTCCAGACCAAACATGTTCATATTTTTGTTCATTTGGCATCTATTGACAAAGCATTATGTACACAGGCTATGAGAAAGAAGACTGCTTGATACCAAATTTACCAGCAAGTTACTGGAATTCATTGCTGCCTTCGAGACATTTATAACCTTATCTTGCTTTTATCATTAAACAAGCCTAGCATCCATGAAGCACAGAGAAACTCAACATTACTTCTTTCATTTTCTCCCCATAGAAGGTAAAAATAACAGACTACTACTGTTCATTATCCTTGTTTCAGAAATGAAGAACATTTAAAAAAAAACAGGCTGACTATTTAGCATAAATTGTGTAAATGAGGCATTTCTCCCAATTTGCTTCATGATGATAGCCAAACAAACCACTCTCTTTCTCTCTCTCTTCACATATGTATGATTACATACATACATATGATTACATATAAAATTGTGTATATTTTCAAACCTATGCATATATGAATCATATATATGTACACATCAGCACAATCACAAAAAAATATAAGCTATCTGAACTCACTAGAGATGAGCAACTTATTCAGACTATTCAAGTATGGCTCTCACCAGGAATTCATTATAATGAAGGATCATAGTCTCTGTATCAAATCTACCAAATCAAAGTCCGACTTTTAACAAGGTCCCCCAGTTGATTCCCATGTAATTAAACTTTACTAGGTATTTCTGTAACCAGTTTTCACTAACCAAGAGGCAAAACAACTGCCTTAATATGTTTCAATTATCTCTGTTTTTTTTAAGCATTATTATTTGGAAAGCAAAGATAGGATGATCAAGATGTTGAATTGTCTGAATAAAAACAATTCTCATATATTCCTGACTTAGTAGACAGTAAGGTTAATCATCCAAATCACTGAAGTACATAATGAATTGGGAGAGGTATTTAGAAGTAGAATTTTAATAGTAGTTATACAAACAATTAAATTTTAAAATGTTAACAACAGGATACTATTTAGTTGCAAAGAAAAATGAAATCATGAAATTTGGAGGTGAATGAACAAATGCAGCCAGAAGAACTTGTATTGAGTGAGGTAATCTAGATCTAGAAAGACAAATTCTACATCTTTTCTCTCACCTCACCTCAGTTCTCCCATCCCAAATCTTTGGGTTTGGATATTCACAGAAACCAGAGAAATATAAAGAATCATAGGTGGTATGAATGTGTTTGGGGGGGGGGGGGTTGGAAAGGTCTTGGGAAGAAATAGCAGGATACAGGTGATATGAAGAAGGAAATGTAATTAGGAGAGAAGTTGGCTCCAACTAGGAGGAAGGACGGAAGTCAATACAGAGACAGAGGGAGAGGAACAAATAACACACAGTATTTGATAAAGCCTCAGTGAATAATATTACATATCTAAACATGTACACAATGCATGCAATTGTGTGCATTGTGTCAACAATGTTTCCCATAAAACCATAAACTGACAAAAACACTAGAACCAGGCACAGAAACCTTTCAAATGGTTGGTCATGGTAGTCCAAGGGATTCCCCAAACAATAGAGGTTATCAGTGTAGCCTTTCAAGGATTAAGGGTGAGTCACTTCATACATACATTAGGACACAGGACTTGGATGATTTGAGCTGGATATGACCTGAAAGCTTGTTTCCTGTGGACTAGCTTCAATGGTTCCAGAAAATACTATGCAAAGTGCCAAGAAAAAGTAACTAACAACTACCCAGTCCTACACAGCTGCAATGTCAATGAAACACATCAATGGCCAACAAGGTAAGATATGCAAGAAAAGGCACTCACATGTTGGTGGCAAATAGCTGCTAACTGGATTTTAGTCCTACTCATCAGGAGGGAAATTATACCTGGTACTGTAAACTAGCCAGCTTCCTAGGGCTAATGCACTCAAGAATATTAGAAAGAATCTACTACCCCCACCTTAGAATGAATGATTCTTTATTACATTCTAAATCTTATCCTCATCAAAGAAGCCTGTCTTCACAGCAAATAGAGGCAGAGGCCATCACAGAAAACTGTAAGAGACACAATGCAGAGATCAACAGATTGTAAAGAGTCTAGCCCTGACCAATCTATGTCATAGCCCATATACATCCATGGTTCAGGAAACATCATGGAAAAGAAGCTGACAAGTTTGTAAGAGCCAGAATACCAGGAACTCTGCTATGAAACAGTCTCCTAGGAAGGGCTGCATAAAGACCAGAACAATGGAGGGGTCAGTGGACATGTTAAGGTGGAAAGGGAAATATCCATGGAGCCCCACTACTAGACAAAGACCTACAGGCATGTAATGACTACTAAGAGAAGGAGAATCAGCCTCTCCGAGGGTCGAGCTCCTTCGCTGCTTGTCCAACCCAGAGTGGTCAGCCTTGAAATCAAATATATACCACCAACACAGATACTCATGTTACAACAATAATAAATGAAAAAGAGGCTATTGACTTGAGAGTGGGTGGTATGGTAGAGTTATAGGGAAGTTGGCTGGAGGGGCTAGAAGGAGGAAATGGAGGGAACATATTGTAATTTTATTTCAGTGATTAGAAAAAATAAATGAAAGGGAATTCTAAATCTTACCTTTCAATGGTGATGCACATCTAGAATTTCAGTAGAAGGTCTTGAAGTCCAGTCTAGCCTGGGCTACATAGGGAAACTGTTAGCAAATTCCCAAATTTTTTATGAGGATTTTGCTTTCAGTGCCCTACCATTCTCTGTACATTTATACTTGGTGGTTAGAAAGCTGTATTTATACCCAGATTTATTTATTCTAAGACAAAAGGTGGGGGTGGACAAAGCTGTGGATGATAGAGGAAAAGAACATGGTGTTTGAAGCTTCATTAATGGATAATGCTGTGTTGAGCTAATTCTAATCATAATTGATTATGATAACAATTGCAACTACTATCAAACTTACTGTTCACTACTTGAAATGTAATGGTTTTATCTAATTCAATTGAATTGCTGCACAAATACTACTTTTTAAAAAAAGTATAGAAAGCTTCCCGAATTTTTGTGTTATCCATTTGCAGGGGCCATGCTAATCTCTGTATCATTCCAGTTTTAGCATACAGCATTTTGAGTATTTGTGTTGCTGAAACAAGCACAAATATTGCTTTTTGTTTCTTTTGTCACTATTCAGGCTTGAACCTAGAATCTCACCATTAAGAAAATTTTCCCAGTCACAAATATTGCTTAATTGATCTACTATTATGTGTCAGTCATATAGTTGTTATTTTGACATTATATATGTATAAATATATTTGTACAACTATGCAATTGTTTAATATGGTAATTAATTTCCATGAGACAAATTATTAATAATGAAGTTATTGGATTGGAGCATAAATAATTTTAAAAAATTATCCTTCAAAATCCATTAACCTTTTAATTTTAATTTTTATTATGATATAATTACAACATATCTCTTCTCCAAACTCTCCCATATTCCCCTCCATGCTTTTATGGCCTCTTTTTTATTAATTGTTATTGTATGCATATATGTATATACATATATATTTCAATGCAACCTGCTCAGTCTTTATAATTGTGTGTATGTGTGTTTTCAGGACTGACCATATGTTGTTGGATAACCAATAGGAATTGGTATTCTTTTCCCATTCTTCCACTCTGAGCCTCCTCAACTGCATTTAGTTCTTTTCTGAGGTCTTGGGGGCTTTATCTCATCTGCTTTGGCATGTCTATTGGAGTAACCCTTGTTCATCTTATGTTTGGGCAGTCATGATGGTGAGACTCCATCGGTATTACTAGTAGACACAATCTCACAAAAAAAAAAAAACCCTTTATCTTCTGGCCCTTATAATCTTTCCACTTCATTTGCCACAATGCTTCCTGAGTCTGAGATATTGGAATGTTTAGTAGATGTATCTACCTGGACTGGGTGAACATTTTTTGAGATATTTCTTAGCCAGGTTTTTCCTCTTTTGACAATTCTCTCTTTAGGTTCTAGGCCAATTTGTCAAGTAAGTAATTTGATTTTTGACTGCTTATTTTTTGAGGTTTGTGTATATTCTGGATATTAGTCCTCTCTCAGATGAAGAGCTGGAAAAGATTTTCTCCCATTCAGTGGGATTCCACTTTACCTGGATTCAGTGTTTCTTTAGCTGTGCAGAAGAGTTTTACTTTAACAAAGGCACATCTGTTAATTGTTGGCCTTTATTCTTGAACAAATAGAGTCCTATTCAGAACTTTCTTCCCTACACCTATATTATGTAGGGTATTGCCTATATTTTCTTACAGAAGTTCCAATATTTCAGGTTTTACTTTTAGGTTTTCTTAGTCATTTGGTTGTTTTTATGGAAGGTGACAGATATTAATCGGGTTTCATTATCTGATATGCGGATATCCAGTTTTCCCAGTACCATTTGATGAAGCTTTTTTTCCTCTAAGATTTGTTATTGATGTCTTTGTCAAATAATAAGTGGCTGAAGTTACGTGTCTACATGTTTGGGTCTTTGATTTTGTTCCACTGGCCTACATGTCATTTTTGTGCCAGTACCATATTATTTTCACTAATATGGCTCTGTAATATATCACAAGACTCTGCACTGTAATCCCTCCAGCATTGTTCTTTTCTCAGGGACATTTTGCCTACCCATAGTCTTTTGTGGTTGCATGTGAATTTTAGGGTAGGTTTATTTTTCTTATTTCTTTGAAGAATGATATGCAAATTTGATTAGTTTCATTGAATCTGTAAATAGCTTTAGGTAGAATGGTCATTTTTCTTTTTTCTTTTTTGTAAGGTGTACACTTTTATTAAACTGGTTTCAAGTCAGTGCACAAGCAAGTCCTGCCTGCCTCAACACCTCAACCCATTCCCAGGGAGACCAAAGCCTTCATATATCAAGTTGGGGGGACAAAAACAAAAAGGAGGGCTATGGTGGCTGATGAAGAATTGTCTTTTTTTTTTCCACCACAAATCTTTTTATTTAACATAGACCATCTGGAATACATATTGGATGTATTTGGCAAACTTTCCTTTTCTTTTGTTTTGTTTTTTTGAGGCAGGGTTTCTCTGTGTAGCTTTGGAGCCTGTCCTAGAACTTGCTCTGTAGACCGGGCTAGGCTTAAATTCACAGAGGACTTCTTGCTTCTGTCTCCTGAGTGCTGGGATTAAAGGTGTGTGTCACCACAGCCCAGCTTGGAGCATTTTATTTAATTTACTTTAATAATCCAAAAAGCCATTCCATCTGTACACCAACCCACCCACCTTATCCATGTTTCCCCTTGCTACAGTTCCATTTATCCATGGTCAACTGACAACAAGTTAGAAGGTCAAAAGCAAATGAGTTTCTTCAGTGACCTCTTTGGGTATTTCTATTAATACAGTGGTCTCTTGCTTGTCAATGGGGATGTGTGCTATTCCTCCGGTGGATGCCCTCATGATGCCTCAGGAATCATTGAAGCCTGTGCTTTTTTCTTTTCCTTTTTTCTTTAATTTACATTTTTTTATTTTACATGTCGATCCCAGTTCCCTCTCCCTCCCCTCCCTGTTACCCTTTCTCCCCCCTCACATGCACCCTGACCACCCTCCCCTCCCCATCTCCCCACCCCCAATTCCACATGTAGGGCAATGCCATCGAGGTGGGGTCATGTAAATCTGTCAAGTCATTTGAAGTAGGGACTAGGACTTCTCTCCTGTCTCTAGGTTAAGGGAGTATCCCTTCATGGGGGATATGTCCACAAGGTCCTTTTGTACACCAGGGATACATCCTGGTCCCACTGTCTGAGGTCCCTTAGGCTGCTCAGTCCTTCTGGCTGAGACCCATATTCAGGGGGACTTGAGTCAGTCCCATGCTGGATTCACAGCTATCAGTCTGGGGGCCTTTAGCTCCTCCTTGTTTGGGTCAGCTTTTTCTATGTGTTTCTGCAACCTGGTCTTGTCCTTTCTGTCTTCATCTGAATTCTACTTCGACTCAGTGTTTAGGTATGGGTGTTTGCTTCTGTTTCCAACAGGTACTAGATGATGGCTCCATGATGGTGAATAAGTTAGTTGCTGATCTCACTACACGGGAAGGGCATTTGTGGTAGCCTTTCCACGGTTGCTCAAATTGTTGGCGGCAGTCTTGTAGGAAACTCTTCCTACAAAACCAAATTGTAGATTCATTGATTTGATTCTGTTGGTCCTTTGTATTGTTTCTCTGTTTCTTTTTTTTAAATTTCTGCTCTGAATTGTATTTTTTCTTGCTGTTCACAGGTTTGGATTTGGTTTGTCCCATTTTTCCAACTTTCTAAGTTGCACCATAAGCCATTTCTTTGTGCTCTTTCTGATTTGTTTTCTATGCAGGTATTTAAAGCCATAAATTTCCCTTCAGGATTGTTTTCAATGTGCCCTAGAGGTTTCGTTGTGTTTCATTTTCATTTTCATTTGCTTCTACTTCCAAAAAGCTTTTGCTTTCTTGATTTAGTCTTTGACCCATTCATCGTTTAGTAATGTGTTGTTTAATCTCCATGGAGTTTGTGTATTTACTAGAGTTTCTTTGCTGTCAATTTTAAGTTTTGTTGCACTGTAGTTACATAGGATAAAAGGAGTGTTTTCAATATTTTTCAATTTGAAAAGATTTGTTTTTATTTTAATAAGATATTTATAATTAAATGTATTGTTTTAATATGTTTATAATATTTTATTATTTTCTAAAACAGACCCAAGGTGTGGTCTATCTTAGACATGCTTCCATGTGATTCTTCCTTTTATGTGATTTGAGTTTGGGGGACTTTGGTATTTTTGGTATTTGGATATAATATTTTCTAGATATTTGTTAAGTCCTTTGGATGTATGGTATCAGCTAATTCTGTTGTCACTCTGTCATAATTTTTGTCCATATAACCTATCTGTAAAGAAGGTGGGATATTGAAATCACCTAATATTAATGGATTGATGTTAATTTGTGTCTTTAAATCCAGAAGAGTTTTTTGAAATTAGATTGCTACATGTTTGCTAGGACAGAAATTTGGTCCTCTTAGTTAACTGTTCACTTGGGTAGAAAGAAGGGCCCTCTTGATCTCTTCTGATCAGTTTCAGTTTGAAGTCTGCTTTGTCATTTATTAAGAGAGAGAGTACCTGCTTATTCCCTGGTCCAGTTTTATTGGAATACTCTTTTCTTTTACTCTACATTGGTATTTATCTTTAAAACTAAGATGTGTTTTTTGTAGACAACAGAGAGTGGCTGTACAACTGTGTACTCCTACCAGCAATGGATCAGTGTTCCTCTTACTCCACATCTTCACCAGCATGAGCTGTCACTTGTTTTGTTGATTTCATTTAGTAATTTAACAGCACACCTAGCTTTTAAGTTAGGAGTTAAAACTCTGGGAATATTGGATTTTTCAATTCCATCCTTATTTTTAGTTGAGTATTCTCATGTTTTTATCTTCTGATTGAATTCCATTTTCAAGTCCTGCCTTGTCTTGGTCACTCTCATCAGGCCCATGCTTGTGCTTTCTTGAGCATTACCCAGATGTTTATTTCATTGATCTCCTTCTCCTTAATTCCATTGAACTGTACATTTTTTGTCTTCTTTAAATTCCTTGAATTCTTTGATGGGATCTATAATTGTTCTTTTAACATCTGTGTCCTGGAATTCATCTAGGTAATTGTAATGGGCAAGCATTTCTATAGGACTGGTAGGTTTTAGAGAGAAGATACAGGCTTCATCTTCAGTATTGGTAGGAAGCAGACTAGGCTGGTACATTTGAGTTTGGAATCTCAGCTAGAACTGGAGAGTTTCAGAAAATGGGAGGTCACAGAGACATATGGTATTAGAGGCTGAAGGAGGACAGGAGACATCTGGGTACAAAGTGGGGAGGATGGAAGCTGCACAGAAGAGACGAGTGGACAATTGCAGGTAGCGTGATCCCTGGTGGATGCCTAGAGGTTGACTATAGTGCAGGTTGGTGTGCTCAGAATAGGCCAGGACAAAGGCTTGAGCATATGTATTTTATTTCCCTTTATTATATTTTTATTATATAAACCTGTTTTTAAATTTGAATATACTTTTATCCTATCCTTTCCCTGAAAGTTCTTTCTCAAAAAACAAAAACCCAATACAAACAACCCACCCAAACCAAGAAAACAA